CCGGGGCACCTTTTGTGAGATAAGAACAATCGAAGTTAAATGCACTTCATTATTAGTTGAATACGTACTATATTATGTTTGCATTTTTCATTTCAAAATCATGTAATATTGTATCATAGTCAAAGTTCTATATAGATTTTCACGCACACAAGGCACATGAAAGTATTTAAATTATTGAGCATTTTGTCATGCACCACTACAAAAAAATTATCAATTGCAATTTAGAAAACTTCTCTTGGGCCATCTCTAGTGAGCGGGCCCTAGGCAAAGCAATGAAAGTATAGATGAGATTACATATTGGAATGTTATCATGGACTCAATCCAGAATGCTAGGTGGACTACAAGTCTATTAGTACATATTTGTATGTTATCATTTACATTGTATGTATGTATTAGTATCTTTAGAATTGAATATATATCTTATAAGTAGTACGGAGTAATATTAATAAGGGTTCACTACTACAAAAATAAACTTTGAACTCCCGTCAAAACACCTCTTATGTGTTTGCCTTTGATGCAACACATAAAGTAAGGCAACTCTTGTATCACTTTTTATGCGAAGTGATAGCTTTATAAATCGCTTATTTGAATGATGCATTCACGTTTTGATGCAACTCAAGTTTTTTATTAAAAAAATATGGGCATAAGCGTCACGAGTGTGAATGAAGCGATTCATAAAGTTTTGTGCTTTGAAACATGAGCATACACAATACAATCTCAAAAGTTAATTATTCTCTTAGATTTTAATTGCTATATACTTCGATGTGGTTCTTTTGATTTTGCCCAATCGGTGGTCTATGAGATCAGACCTCTATATTGTCAATTCCGTTTGCACTTAGGTCATGCCGAAGTGACATGTCCCCAAAAGGGAGGGCCTAAGGAAGCTTCTCGGGATAAATGGATGGTCAAAAAGTCTACTCCTAAGGACCAGCATACAATACTTGCTGGGGGCGGGGGGTAAAGGAGATGGAACAATCAGTTACTAAAAAAAATTCATGTTCAACCACAAATTAAGATTACAGACGAGGACAAGGACATGAATACAATTTATAAGGGCAAACATAAAGTGTTTGAGGTAATATGTATGCCCTCCGTTGGACCTGGAAAACAAGATCCTCATACCTCAGCTGGACCTTCTGGGCAACACAATCTTCAACCCTCATCTATCAACTCTCAGCTCTTAGCTGGAAGCCAGGAAACACAACTCTCATATTTAGATGTAAAAGAAGTCTACACTGAAATTCTTGCTCCTATACATGTGCTAGTTCCATAATACAATGAATATAACACATCAGAAGCTATGATGCATAACAAGGAGAGTTCATAGGTGCAGAAGTTACCTTGTTTGGAAAGAGGTGCTGATGATAATAACCTTTTGCAAATTACTCGGCGCAATTCATATGATCCAACTCATTGTGCAAAGGGATGTTATTCTGAGGGTGATTTTTGCTTCATAGAAAAGGTTGATAAATGGAAAGCAGGACATGATGAATTACCAAGGAAGGTGGCCATTATTGTTAATAGATCTAAAGATCCTCAGTCACAAACACAGGAGGATTGGTTAACAGATCTTGATTCTAAATTTAATGTTGAAGGGTTCAATAAAGTAGCAAGAAAAAAAAAGTCTACTCAAATTGTTCCAGATACACCAAGGTTTATCAGAAATGCTGCTACACAGCTTTCACATACTTTTCTCTCCCTCCCATGATGAATTGTCTATTATGGAATGTCTGTGGCCTTGTATCTTCCTGTCCAAGGTTACATGGTCTCATTAGTCAATGGAGAATTAGTTTGTTAACCGTTATTGAGCCTATTGTTGATGTAGCAAGGATTCAGTCTATTTCCTTAGACCTGGGTCTACAAAATTACTTTTTCTGCCCTGATAATAAATTTTGGTTGTTTTGGGACTCTCTTTGAATATTGTTTTTTTACTCCAGGAGGGTCTGGGGGAGGGGGGCTGGGAGGGAGCTTGGAGTAATCAGGACTGAAACTCACTCCATTGAGTTTCAAACCCTTATGTGCCTAGCGGGTTTCGAACTCGAGACCTCTCGCTAGGCACGGTAACCTCACAACTATCTGAGTGACGAGTCATTTTCACAATGAAGCTCATCAGGTGTCGGGATGTGGAAGTCTCGGATACCGTCTCACGGGACGGTGTATATGGAAAATCAAATGTGAAATCAATCTAGAAATCTAAGATGTAAGCTAGCCAAGTCGATGTATGTTTGATTTAAGAGAACAACTAAATTGCAATGGAAAAAGATAACGATTAAACTAGAAGGGAAGCGGGGGCATACAAGGAACAACCTATGATTAAGTATAAGGGGTCAAAATGGGGATACTTGGGAATATATCATGCAACAAAGGGATAGGTACAAGTTCCCTTGCCACTCTCATGGTCAAGAGAGTACCAAGGGCTTCTATTGGCCATTCTCATGGTCCAATAGAAATCCAAAGCCATGCAAAGAAGACCAACCAACAATTTATTCCCCTACTTTCTCCCATTCTCATGGAGAGGAGATAGTGTGTGTGTGTGTGAATGTGTCAAAAGGAACCCTACAAGTCTCCTTGAGGATCCAAAACATCATCTAAGAACATTGTGGCCATCAAAGTCTTAGAAATACAAAGAAGCATTTTCACAAACACATTGTGTGCATAATATATTTCTCAAATTCCCCCAAATCAAACCCCAAAACCTAACACATCACATGGTTGGATGTTCCTCAAACACCCCCAATCCCTAATCCAACTACTCACTCATGCTAGATTTCATACTCATAAAGCATATGCAACACAAAGTCATGAAATGAAGCAATAAGAGAAAGGGAATGAGATTAGGGATTTAATGCAATCTAAGTTATTTAATGCAAGAATAACAAGTATTTGATGCAAGTAAAGATTAGGAATTCAATACAAAATAGTTTAAGGAAGCTTACAACCAAAACTAGGGTTTGCAAGAAGAGAGCTCGTCCAAAAAAACTCTGAAAATTCGAACAAGAATTGCTATTTATACAAATGGGGATCGGGAGAACGCCGGGAAGGAACGGCGTTCCCTCTAGGCGTTCCTACCCTTACAAAATCAAACAATTCGCTGGCAGAGAGTTCGACGTTGGGAGGAACGCAATCGGGACGTCGTTCTCTTAGGAACGCTGACAGGAACATCGTTCCCTGCCAGCGTTCCCACGCCTGGGACTTTGAATTGAAAATCTGGTGTACAATACGGGGGAACGCTGGGGGGAACGTCGTTCCCTATGGCGTTCCCGATGCTGCTTCCACCAAAACACATCTGATCTCTTCGTTTCTTGTTTCCTTGTGCTCCGCTTGGTCCTCGGGGTCTTCAAATCATCCATTTATGCTCTCGAGACTCTTCAAAGTGCTCGGTTTTCACCCCTACGATGTTCAAATCCTTCCCATGGTTCCTACAACCAAAATATTGAACAAGTTTAACCAAAATGGGGCAAAAATCTTCAAAGGTTAACAAACAAAGACCATATTTTATGAGAAAGTATTAAGTTTTTCACACCTATCACTGGGCTGGAATGCTTGGTTAACTCTCTTTGAATATTGGTATTTCTGGTATTTCATGGAGTAAGCAATATACTCATCTTAAAGTCTATGTTATTAGAACCGGACCGGACTGGGCGGGTCGACCCAGAAACCAGCAACCCAGCACCTTACCCGATCCGCTTACACACAAACCCATAAATGTGTGTAAACCCGGAAAACCCCGCTAGCCTGTTCGGACCCGGGGCGGACCCGGGACCTCCCAAACCTGGGAAACCGGCTATTTCACCCAAGAACCGGCATAAATGCAAAAGTTTACACCTCTGGGATTCGATCCCACGTCTGGTGGGAAGAGAAGCAGTCGGCCCTCTACTATACTACTTATTCCATTAGCATAAATTTTAATTTCTCATGCACTCCGTATTATTTAATATAAGCACTTAATATAATAATTTATATGATTGTTATTATCTAATTATATATTTTTTATATTTCACTAACCTCTTATGTATATAAACTATCACATACAAGTAAAAAATACTTATATGTTATTTTTAAGATTTTGTAATAAATATAGTTATGTTAATATTATGTTTTTGAGAAAGTACAATGTTCTTGAATATTCATACCAGACACATAATTATGTAAAAAAATCAAATAACATTATTGATATAATTAGGCTTAAACTATACTTTAGAATATTATTTTTGTGTTTTCAATGCTTAATAGTATTATAACTACTTGGTTATTGTGTACTATAATTACCTTTATTTTTAATTTTACATATTGTTATGTATTTATAAATATACGAAATTAAAAATGTTGACCAGGTTTTCCCGGCGTTGACCGGGTTGACCTGCCGGGTCCGGGCTGACCCGTGACCCGGCCATTTGTAACACCGTCCCAAAATATATTTACTTTTATGAAAATAATGTATTGAACCTTATTAAAGGATTAATGAATTTACGAAATTGTAAATTTTTATTATTCCTTTCGCGTGAATAGTAAATTGCATGTGGGACCCACACCGGGAGCGGGGGCCGCCCATATTCCCGAGATCACATAAATTATTCTTATGGGTCTAAATAATATTTATATAGTGGTGGACATCTTATTTGGGCCATGGGAAGACCTGGGGTTGACCGATTGGGAAAAAGAGGCCCAATTACCGATACCGGTAATTAAACAGATAACAGCCCGAACTGAATTTCGGAGGCTTGTAAATTAAAGTTGGGGAACGTATATTCATTATACATGTCATAACGAGTAAGAGCACATAATATATTTTATTTGACCCGATAAAATAAAATATATTTAAAACAGTCCGAAAAATACAACTTTCGGGACCGATTGTACACTTCGGGACAAAAGGGGTTGACCTCCCACTTGGGTGGGGGCCAACCCACGAATTTGGTCACCCAAATTCAAAGTTTGGCCGGCTGGAGTGAGGGGAGAGCATGTGAGTGGTGTGTGAAGTGAAAGGAAGAGCATCAAACAAAATAAGGTGGATCCCATCCACACTTATTTGCTTAATGAAACAAAAGGTTACCCTCACCCCTCCCTCTCCCTTATTCTCGGCCAAGTAATACCCAGGAAGAAGAAGAAAACCACCCTCCTTCATTCTCCATTGTTGAAGAGAGCTCAACAAGAAGAAATCCCAAGAAAAGGAGCTAAGGTGCTAAAAGTGTGAAAAGATTAAGGTAATGACCTTATTATAACTTCTTCTTTATTTTTCTTCTACCATATGAGATATACATCATGTGAAGAATCCTTAAGAGGATTCTACATGTTATAAGTATGGATTAATGGGTTGGAAAGTGACTCTATGTCCAAGAACGGACTTAGAAGCCAAAACGACCGGTTCACCGGAAAATGACCGTTTTGAGGTTATTTGTATTAATAAGGGTTTTATGATTATAAAACCTTGTTAGGAACTTGTGAAAGGTATTTCAAGTGATTTCACAAAGTTGGGAAAGTCGCCGGAATTGTCGCCGGAGTTGACCAAAAGTCGCCGGAGTGTCACCGGAGTTCAACCAAGAAGGGTAGAACTACATACACTAGTTCAAGGTGAGTGGACGGCTTAATATCTTATAACTTTTGGGTTAATTATGAGATTACCTAAATAAATGTTATATGAGTTCATAATGATGTTTAAAAGATATTTAAACATGTGATTAGCCAATAGGGTTAAGCTTGTATGAAAGAAATTAATTGTTGATGCATGGAATATGATATGAAGAATTATATGAAATGCATATTTGCTTGAAGTGTATTAGAAGCACAAATGAATATTATTAACTTAATTATATGATGATTAAGTTGATACACACAAGGCATGAAATGGCGGTCAACGAAAACGTGGACCGAAGAACAAAGGATTTAATTAATACCGGTTGGTATTAATTAATTATAAATCTATATAAATGCATGGTTTTGCATGGATTGTGATACATAAGATTTATGTATTGGATTAGTTATGAGTAACTAAGTATGATATAGACTCTATCTAGGTTGATAGGAGGTTGATCATAGGAAAACTTGGTGGAGGACCCTAGTACTTAAAAAGTACTTAACACTCAAAACTTGGTGGAGGACCCTAGTACTTAAAAAGTACATAACACTCAAAAACTTGGTGGAGGACCCTAGTACTTAAAAAGTACTTAACACTCAAAACTTGGTGGAGGACCCTAGTACTTAAAAGTACTTAACACTCAAACTTGGTGGAGGACCCTAGTACTTAAAAAGTACTTAACACTCAAAACTTGGTGGAGGACCCTAGTACTAAAAAGTACTTGACACTCAAAACTTGGTGGAGGACCCTAGTACTTAAAAGTACTTAACACTCAAAACTTGGTGGAGGACCCTAGGACTTATGAGTCCTTAACACTCACAAACCGGTGGAGTATCCAATGATTTTGATCCTAATACTCATAGATTATGATATACAATTAGGGACGAGGAGGAGTCCTATACACTCATAGGTATATGGGTGGGTTGGGGTTTTTAGTCAAGAATATTGACTATTGCTATTTTTCCCAAATAAAATGGTGATCTACGGATCGGATATTTTCCAAGTATATATATACTAATAAGTATTTCATAACTTGGGGGAAAGACTATTTATTTAAGTATCACCCTATGTTTGGGTCTTATACTTGAAACGCTAGTTATTCTATATTTAGCCTGCTACTCGCTCGGTACTTGTACTGACCTCTTCGGGGGGGCCCACCATTTTCAGGTTGAAGCTAGGGCTTGCTACCTGCACCTTTCTACGGGTGACATCAAGTCAAGGAAGACGTGGTTCGTGCTTCCTCATTTCCTTTCAAATTACTAAACATTGCTCATGGATATTTTTAGTTGTTATAAACTACTTTTGGGGCTTGCATGCCCATGTTGTTGGCCGGCTGTGGCTTATGACTTACCGTTGAATATTTCCGCTATTCATTGGTTTAAATGTGATGTTGTTACGTATGTTTACTACTGAGTATGGATGGTTTATATTCTCGAACGCCTTGTGTAATTAAGTGAGGTTGACTCGCGGGTGACGTCACTTGATTATACGGCGGTTGTACACGCGCTTGGATTGCGGTCTGGGGCGTGACAATTAAGTGGTATCAGAGCCATCTCAGTTCTAAACTATATAATCAACCTCTCACAAAAGATTTTTGCAAAAGAGTTTTTACCGAAAACCATGAGCATTGTATTTTGACGTTTATAGGACTATTGGTGCTTAAGTTGCAAGGCCTCTAATTGTTAAGACGGTACCCTTAACAATTGGTATGGTAGTGACTTGGGCCAATACGTGTCTGTAACGTTCTTCCGTCAATTAACATTTATAGGAGTCTAATGACTCATCCATATTTCTTTCAGAAATGGAGGGCAGGCGAATGGGGACCAGGAACAATCTGAGGGGGCAAGCGCCGGTAGCATCCCAAAGGGGAAGCCGGGCTGCATCTCGGGGTTCGAGAGGAGGCCGTGGAGGCCGTGGAAGCCGTGGAGGTCATCAAGCTCAAACTGTGAGTGATGGCCATGTGAGCTCGGTGTATGAAACCAACACCGAAGACTATGACTCAACCTACGTTCCAGAGACGGAGCATGAAGAGACCCCGTATGATGGGGGTGACACATACACCGATGATGATGATGAAGAGAGTGATGCCAAGTTCGCCCAAATGGGCGAATTGCTCGAGTGGTATCAAAAGGAAAAACTGAGGAGAGACCTTAGGCGCCAAGCGAGGCGTGGCTCTCGTGGAGGTTCGGGTCAAGGAAGCCGGGGAGCTTCCGTGGCCACCCCAGCGGCGTCACAAGGTGGGCGTGAAGGGGGTTTTGTTGTGAGAATCTCCAAGTACCTCAAGGAGGCTAGGGCCTTGGGGTGTAGGTCCTTTGACGGCACCGGTGACATTACCGTTGCCGCCGATTGGATTAAGAAGGTGAAGGATGCATCAAGAGATATGCAAATCACACCGGACGTGAAGTTGACTGTCGCTTCACGGCTACTTGAAGGGATAGCTTCTACGTGGTGGGAGAGCGTGGAAGGGAAGTACCATGGGGAAATAACATGGGCGGATTTTGAGCTAGAGTTCTATGATCAATACTACTCCGAGTACGAGGTGAACGTGAAACGGAGAGAGTACACTAACCTCAAACAGAAAGATGGCGGCACGGTTAAGCAGCTGGAACAAGAGTTTAGGACCTTGGCTAGGTTCTTGCCGGAGTACACGGTTGATGAGAACCGCATGACGGAGCACTTTTGGGATGCCTTACTCTTAGACATCCGTGATCGAGCCACGTACTCGCGCCACATGACCTTTAGCGAGGTGGTGGAGCAGGGCCTTCTTGGGGAGGCCCAGTGGAATGAGAGAAAAGAAAGAGACGCCGAAGAGGCGAAAAAGAGGAAATGGCATAATTCGGGGCCGCCCGAGCAAGCACGGAAAGATAAACACGGTGGGGGTGGTGGTCCGTTCAGGACACCGGCACCACCGGCAAAGAAGAACCGAGGATTGATGACTTGTTCGATCAACTTCGAGGGGCAATAGTATTCTCGAAGATTGATTTGAGGTCGGGGTATCATCAGTTGAAGATCAAGGAAAGTGACATACCTAAAAGTGCGTTCCGCACTAGATACGGTCACTACGAGTTCCTTGTGATGTCATTTGGTTTAACCAACGCACCGGCGGCATTCATGGACTTGATGAACCGTGTGTTTAGTGAATACTTAGATCAATTTGTGATAGTATTCATTGATGACATCTTGATATACTCCAAGAGCGAGGAAGAGCACGAACACCATTTGAGGCTTGTACTTGATCGGCTAAGGGAAAAGCAACTCTTCGCCAAGTTCTCCAAATGCGAATTTTGGCTCAACGAGATTGGTTTCCTCGGTCATGTCATATCCGGTTCGGGTGTTGCTGTGGATAACGCCAAGATAAAAGCGATCATGGATTGGGAGAGACCCAGGAATGCGAAGGAGATACGTAGTTTCCTTGGCTTAGCGGGATACTATCGTAAATTTGTGGAAAAATTCTCCGTATTGGCGTCTCCATTAACGAAGCTCACAAAGAAAGGGGCCAAGTTCATATGGGACGACAAGTGTGAGAAGGGGTTCCTTGAATTGAAGAAACGACTTACCGAAGCACCAGTCCTTGCCCTACCCATACAGGGGATAGGGTATGACATTTACAGCGATGCTAGCATCCAAGGGCTTGGATGTGTACTAATGCAAAACGGTAAGGTGATTGCCTATGCTTCTAGGCAATTGAGGAAACACGAAGTGAACTACCCTACTCACGATCTAGAGTTGGGGGCGGTAGTGTTTGCATTGAAGATTTGGAGGCATTATCTCTACGGGGAGACGTGTCACATTTATACTGATCATAAGAGCTTGAAGTATGTATTCACTCAGAAAGAGTTGAATATGAGGCAGAGGAGATGGATGGAGTTGATCAAGGACTATGACTTGATCATCGACTATCATCCCGGAAAGGCCAATGTAGTGGCCGACGCACTGAGCAGGAAGAATACGTCAGGGACGCTACTTACTTGTCTACGAGTATTGAGGGCACACGTGGAGGTGTCCACGACCGGGGCGCTCATTGCTAGGTTCGAGGTGAGGCCTACATTGCTGGGTGAGATCAGTAGATGTCAGGCCATTGATGAGGAATGTCAGAAGATCCGCGAACGGATCCTTGAGGGACCCGTCGAGAATTTTCGGGTACGTGATGACGGTCTTTTATTATTTAAGGATCGTGTGTGCATACCAAAGAATGAGGAGCTCCAGAAGTCTATACTTGAGGAGGCTCATTCTTCAGCATATGCTATGCATCCAGGAGGTACTAAGATGTACCGAGATCTGAAGGAAAGTTACTGGTGGTCAGGTATGAAGAGAGATATTGCAGAGTTTGTGAGTCGATGCCTTACTTGCCAGCAAGTTAAGGCAGAGCATCAGCACCCAGCAGGGCTCTTGCAGCCACTCACCATCCCAGGGTGGAAGTGGGAACATGTGACCATGGACTTCGTGGTGGGGCTGCCACGAACAGTGAACAACTACGATGCAGTGTGGGTAGTGGTTGATAGGCTCACCAAGAGTGCACACTTTCTACCTATCAACATTACTTATCCTCTTGAAAGATTGGCCAAGCTATACACGGAGGAGATTGTGAGATTACATGGAGTCCCAATATCCATTGTCTCGGATAGGGATCCACGATTCACATCCCGATTTTGGCCAAAGTTTCAAGCGTCTTTGGGGACTAAACTGAAGTTTAGCACAGCTTTTCACCCACAGACGGATGGACAGTCCGAGCGGGTGATACAGATTTTGGAAGACATGCTTAGGGCATGTGCTTTGGAGTTCCAAGGAAGTTGGGACAAGCATTTGGCCCTAGTGGAGTTTGCTTATAACAACAGTTATCAAGTAAGTATCGGCATGCCTCCATATGAGGCATTGTATGGGAGGAAATGCAGAACACCATTGTGTTGGGACGAGGTTGGCGAGACCAAACTCGAATGGATAGAGCTGGTTGAGATCACCAAGGCCAAGGTGAGGATCATTCGGGATAGACTGAAGGCTGCTCAGGACCGACAGAAGAGTTATGCTGATAAACGGCGGAGACCGTTGGAGTTCGAAGTCGATGATGAGGTCTTCCTAAGAATTTCTCCTTGGAAGGGCATCATTCGATTTGTATCGAGGGGAAAGCTTAACCCCCGATACATCGGCCCATTTGAGATCCTTGAAAGGATAGGGGTCGTGGCCTATCGTCTCAAGTTGACGCCTGAACTTGAGAAGATACATGACGTGTTTCATGTATCAATGCTCAAGAAGTACATACGAGACCCATCTCATATTCTTGAGAAACCACCGGTAGAGATCCGTGAGGACTTGCAATATGCGGTGGAACCAGTGAAGATTGTTGGTCAAAGTGAAAAAGCTTAGGAATAAGGAGATTCCTATGGTAAAGGTCCTTTGGAGGAGTGATCGAGTCGAAGAAGAAACTTGGGAGACCGAGGTCTCAATGAGGGAGCAATACCCATTTCTTTTCGATTAGATACTTGGATTTCGGGGACGAAATCCCAAATAAGGGGGGGTGAACTTGTAACACCGTCCCCAAATATATTTACTTTTATGAAAATAATGTATTGAACCTTATTAAAGGATTAATGAATTTACGAAATTGTAAATTTTTATTATTCCTTTCGCGTGAATAGTAAATTGCACGTGGGACCCACACCGGGAGCGGGGGCCGCCCATATTCCCGAGATCACATAAATTATTCTTATGGGTCGAAATAATATTTATATAGTGGTGGACATCTTATTTGGGCCATGGGAAGACCTGGGGTTGACCGATTGGGAAAAAGAGGCCCAATTACCGATACCGGTAATTAAACAGATAACAGCCCGAACTGAATTTCGGAGGCTTGTAAATTAAAGTTGGGGAACGTATATTCATTATACATGTCATAACGAGTAAGAGCACATAATATATTTTATTTGACCCGATAAAATAAAATATACTTAAAACAGTCCGAAAAATACAACTTTCGGGACCGATTGTACACTTCGGGACAAAAGGGGTTGACCTCCCACTTGGGTGGGGGCCAACCCACGAATTTGGTCACCCAAATTCAAAGTTTGGCTGGCTGGAGTGAGGGGAGAGCATGTGAGTGGTGTGTGAAGTGAAAGGAAGAGCATCAAACAAAATAAGGTGGATCCCATCCACACTTATTTGCTTAATGAAACAAAAGGTTACCCTCACCCCTCCCTCTCCCTTATTCTCGGCCAAGTAATACCCAGGAAGAAGAAGAAAACCACCCTCCTTCATTCTCCATTGTTGAAGAGAGCTCAACAAGAAGAAATCCCAAGAAAAGGAGCTAAGGTGCTAAAAGTGTGAAAAGATTAAGGTAATGACCTTATTATAACTTCTTCTTTATTTTTCTTCTACCATATGAGATATACATCATGTGAAGAATCCTTAAGAGGATTCTACATGTTATAAGTATGGATTAATGGGTTGGAAAGTGACTCTATGTCCAAGAACGGACTTAGAAGCCAAAACAACCGGTTCACCGGAAAATGACCGTTTTGAGGTTATTTGTATTAATAAGGGTTTTATGATTATAAAACCTTGTTAGGAACTTGTGAAAGGTATTTCAAGTGATTTCACAAAGTTGGGAAAGTCGCCGGAATTGTCGCCGGAGTGTCACCGGAGTTCAACCAAGAAGGGTAGAACTACATACACTAGTTCAAGGTGAGTGGACGGCTTAATATCTTATAACTTTTGGGTTAATTATGAGATTACCTAAATAAATGTTATATGAGTTCATAATGATGTTTAAAAGATATTTAAACATGTGATTAGCCAATAGGGTTAAGCTTGTATGAAAGAAATTAATTGTTGATGCATGGAATATGATATGAAGAATTATATGAAATGCATATTTGCTTGAAGTGTATTAGAAGCACAAATGAATATTATTAACTTAATTATATGATGATTAAGTTGATACACACAAGGCATGAAATGGCGGTCAACGAAAACGTGGACCGAAGAACAAAGGATTTAATTAATACCGGTTGGTATTAATTAATTATAAATCTATATAAATGCATGGTTTTGCATGGATTGTGATACATAAGATTTATGTATTGGATTAGTTATGAGTAACTAAGTATGATATAGACTCTATCTAGGTTGATAGGAGGTTGATCATAGGAAAACTTGGTGGAGGACCCTAGTACTTAAAAAGTACTTAACACTCAAAACTTGGTGGAGGACCCTAGTACTTAAAAAGTACTTAACACTCAAAAACTTGGTGGAGGACCCTAGTACTTAAAAAGTACTTAACACTCAAAACTTGGTGGAGGACCCTAGTACTTAAAAGTACTTAACACTCAAACTTGGTGGAGGACCCTAGTACTTAAAAAGTACTTAACACTCAAAACTTGATGGAGGACCCTAGTACTAAAAAGTACTTAACACTCAAAACTTGGTGGAGGACCCTAGTACTTAAAAGTACTTAACACTCAAAACTTGGTGGATGACCCTATGACTTATGAGTCCTTAACACTCACAAACCGGTGGAGTATCCACGGATTTTGATCCTAAAACTCATAGATTATGATATACAATTAGGGACGAGGAGGAGTCCTATACACTCATAGGTATATGGGTGGGTTGGGGTTTTTAGTCAAGAATATTGACTATTGCTATTTTTCCCAAATAAAATGGTGATCTACGGATCGGATATTTTCCAAGTATATATATACTAATAAGTATTTCATAACTTGGGGGAAAGACTACTTATTTAAGTATCACCCTATGTTTGGGTCTTATACTTGAAACGCTAGTTATTCTATATTTAGCCTGCTACTCGCTCGGTACTTGTACTGACCCCTTCGGGGGGCCCCACCATTTTCAGGTTGAAGCTAGGGCTTGCTACCTGCACCTTTCTACGGGTGACATCAAGTCAAGGAAGACGTGGTTCGTGCTTCCTCATTTCCTTTCAAATTACTAAACATTGCTCATGGATATTTTTAGTTGTTATAAACTACTTTTGGGGCTTGCATGCCCATGTTGTTGGCCGGCTGTGGCTTATGACTTACCGTTGAATATTTCCGCTATTCATTGGTTTAAATGTGATGTTGTTACGTATGTTTACTACTGAGTATGGATGGTTTATATTCTCGAACGCCTTGTGTAATTAAGTGAGGTTGACTCGCGGGTGACGTCACTTGATTATACGGCGGTTGTACACGCGCTTGGATTGCGGTCTGGGGCGTGACACCATTCGTCCAGATCGCTTCCCGGACCGGTTCTTGTAACATAGCTTAAAGTGTCTACTGGGAGCTTCTTTTTTGGTTTACATTTGTCTATGAAGACCATAGTTATATTAAAAGGAGGCAGTTATGATCATTCTTGAATGGTTGGGCGAGTTCTAACTTCTAACAGAGAATCGTGGATTGTGGGGGAAGATTTTAATGCAATTGTTGCCCATTCTGAACATAAAGGAAACTCGTCACCTCTATTGGTTAGTATGGTTAAATTTAAAGATTGTATTTCATATTGTGACTTAGTGGATCTCCCTTTTCATGTATTTAAAGATTGTATTTCATACACTTGGACCAGAAACATAAGAAATGGAAGAGTGTGGTGTAGATTGGACAGAATATTAATTAACTCCTCTTTTTTGGATCTTTTTGACTCTATTCAGATTAATCATCTAAATAAAATTTCATCATATCACAACCCTATTCTCTTACAATGTAAAAATACCTTAGTCGTCAGACCTAAGGCTTTCAAGTTTCAGAATATGTTGATTTCACATCCCAATTTTCTTGAGATAGTTAAGACATCTTAGAAGTCTCAGTCTGGTGGTGCGGGTATGAGAGGACTATATGATAAGCTAAAAGCTCTAAAGCATGAGTTGAAATTGTGGAATAAAAATGCTTTTGGAAATATTTTTGAGGATGTTAAAAAATTGGAGGAGGAGGAGGTTCTTAAGGCTGAATTGACTTATGAATCTAACTCAACTATGCAGAATAGAGAAGAATGGTCCTATAAACAGTCTATGTTAATCTCAAAACATAAGCATGAAAGAATCTACTGGAAGCAGAAGACACATGTCAAATGGATGAAAGAAGGGGATGCTAATACCACTTCTTTCATTCTTTGGTAAAAGTTAGAAGGAGATTACAATGAATCACTACCATTCGGTATTTTGCAGGTAAGCTCTGTATTGATACTGCTAGCATTGGACAGGATGTTGTAGAATACTTATCCAATATTTTTTCACCTGTACCAGTCCATCACGTGGAGGAGATCCTGCAATTCATACCCGGGTTAGTAGAGGAGCGGGAAAACTCTATGATTCTTAAATTACCTACTTTTGGTGATGTCAAACATACTGTGTGGGAATTGAATAAGGATGGGGCACCTGGTCCTGGTGACTTTAATGGGGGTATTTTTTTTACAAAATGTTGGAATATTATGGGTTGGGATGTTGTAAGGGATGTTCAAGACTTCTTTCAAAGGAATTACATTCCTCAAGCAATGGCCAATTCTTTGATTGTACTTATCCTAAGGCTAAGAAAGATAGACACTCTACATTTGGTGATATAATTTCAGACCTATAATTTTGTCAAACTTTATAAGTAAAGTTTGCACAAAAATTTTAGCCTCTAAAATCAGTATCATTTTGCCTAAACTGATTTCTTCAGAGCAAGCAGGTTTCATGCAAGGAAGTTACTTTGCTGATCATATGCTGGTGGCTCAAGAAATGCTCAATTCTATTGATAAAGGGGTAAGAGGTATTAATGTAATTGTCAAACTTAACATGGCTAAACCATTTGACAGGCTATATGAGATTTTTTACAAGTTGTTCTTCTAAAGTTTGTCTTTTCTCCTACTCTCACTACCCTGGTGATGAATCATCTAAAAGCTACTCCCTTCTAAGTTCTTATTAATGGTGCACATCAAGGGTTTTTTCAACCACAGGGGATCCTTTATCCCTTTTTTTATTCATTATTATTTCGGAAACGCTTTCTAGAGGATTGAACGCTTTAATGAATACTGGTAAAATTAATCCTTACTGGATTGATCAAAGTGATTGATATTCTAGCTTCACATTTACGGTTTGATGATGACATGCATTCTCATTTTTCTCAATGGGGAAGCTAGATCTATCTTAAATTTAAAAAAAAAACCTTGAACTTTATCAAAGGGCCTCTGATCAGGCTATTAACTTTGATAAAAGTAGCGTGGGAAAACTTTCCTTCA